TGTAAATATAATGATAAAGACAAAAGAATAAAAGTAAAACAATGTTGTTTGACTACTTATTTCTATTACTACTTATTCCTTATACATACACACACACACACACACACACACACATATTCATTTACACAATCATTTATTCAAGTTTTGTATAGGTGTTATAGTTACCAGCCTAGAAGTTGCTCATGCCAGGTATCTTGGTCATGAGAATGGAGCTGAGTCTGTGTCAGGTGCACCTGTGCTCCTGGAGGTTGGCAGCAGAACCAAAGACTCAAAATCCTCAGTCTTGAGAGTCCATTTTTATAGGAATTAATTCCTATGTTAGTCTATGGGAGCTGTTTTATTCTGCTGTTGCTGACTCGATCAGCAGATGGCACATTCCACATTGAAGTCAGAACATTCAGAGGAGTAGGGCTTACACCATGGAACTCTTGCAAGGGGTAGGAGACCTTGCTGTGCTCAGAAAGAAATGTAATACTGATCTTTTGACTTGGCTTTCCCTCAGTAAGCCTACCTAGAAAAACTAAAAATAAACAAAAACACCTAATCAAGCTATTTTTCTAACAGGCTGCCAAGGAAAAGGAGAGATGTTTCTTACTTTTAAATATGTGGGAAGCATATTTGGGGTGATGGGCCATATGACTCTGAAACGATTATCAAGGATAACTCTGTTTTTGTTTTCACAGTTTAAAACTTTCATGGTCTGTCTTACAACTGGGTGAGATTAGATTGCTTGGGTGTATAGATAAAAGCAAAATAATTAAATGCAGAACATTGTACATTTAGTTGGCAAGAATGTTTTTGTTGTAATAAATCATATATGTGGATTATTGTTTTTACATACAAAGAAACCTCAAGTGGAACGTCACCCAGATAGTGAAGTTAATGTGCATGGCTATAATACAGCCATTCCAGTAGAAGAAGATAGTGAAGAAGAATCCTGTGTAGCTGATGATGTTTTAGAAGTTGTGTGTGAACAAGTAAGAATTTGAATTTTAAAATGTAGAGTTTGGTATGATAGCCTAAGTGGCTACCAAATATCTTTTTTTATTTTTTTCAAAATTAAACTTGATCTATAAGTATATAATAAATGTGTAAAGAACATTGATAGTACAATTGTACAACTTGTTAAGAAAAAAAGGTTCTAAGATGAGTAGCAGTTGAGACTTACTACATCTTATTTATTTTGAATAATGTCCAAATGTGCAATGTACTGTACAAGCACAAAAAAGAAGGGTCCCTGCCCCATGGTCTCTTAAAAGATCATACCAGATGGTCAAAAAACAGAGGGTAAAAGGAGAAGAGGCATAACAAGCCTGTGGGGATAGTTATGTGGTGGTTTGTCTTGTCTTGATTATTATTTCTATGTAAAGCACCCCCAGTTACCCCACAACTTCAGAGTCAGCTGGCAGGTATCTCTAATGTGCAAACTTTTTGCATAAAGCAGTTCACAGCAATTTCTGAAGGAAAAAGCATTCATAAATGTGACTCATCACAATGGTTGAAATGACCTAGTGGGGAAGAAAAAATGTTCTACACTTCTGCAGTGGAGTTTATCATGTCTGTTCAATTGTATTTATGCCTAAAATTAGAGAAAGTGAAATCTCTTGTTCTTATTTCCAGGCCACAGAAGATAATAGTCAAATCGAGCTGCTAAAGAGCCAGCTTGCTGATTGCCAAGAAAAACTTAATAAGCTAAATTGGATGGAAGATAAACTACATGTTTTAGAAGAGAGAGTGAAAGGGAAGGTTATTATAGATGAGAAGGACTGGAATAATCTCCTGAGCCGGGTCTTGCTTCTTGAAACAGAACTGTTATTGCAGTCAAAAAAGGTATATTTTACCATAAAGCTTCAATTTTATTGGGGAGGTTGAACGTGTAGCAGGGTGGATTGATTTTAAACCGGGGATTTTAATCTTATTTAGCATTTGTATGTTGTTTGCCTAAAGAGAGGATGATTCTCATTGGTTGGTATAACCATCAAAATATGTTGTTTTGCAACTAAATATGTAGAACCTTAGAGTTAAGAACCTCAGAGTTACGAACTGACCAGTCAACCACACAGCTCATTTGGAACCAGAAGTACACAATCAGGCAGCACACATCCCCTCCCCCCCCTCACGCCCCTCCCCCCCTCAAAAAAAGCAAGTACAGTACTGTGCTAGACATAAACAACAAAAATAAAGGGAAAGTTTTTTTTTTAAAAATTGAGAAGGTAAGGAAACTGTTTCTGTGCTTGTTGTATTTAAGTTAAGATGGTTAAAAGCAGCATTTTTCTTCTCCATAGTAAGGTTTCAAAGCTGTATTAAGTCAATATTCAGTTATAAACTTTTAAAAGAACAACCATAATGTTTTGTTCAGAGTTGTGAACATTTCTTGAGGGGTTTGTAACTCTGAGGTTCTACTGTGTAGCCTTTACATGAAATCTAGTACTACTTTTGCTAAATAGGGAGATACACTATATCTATGCACATTTAAACAATTATAAAACGTGACATACATTTATTCAAATTCTTAATTTTTACTACTTTGTTAGAAAATGGTGAATGAGGCAATTCTTTTCTACTAGATTCATTTTTTTACTTGTGATTTGTATCAAGATACATTTAGATGAAAATTGGAATGCAGTCAAAATACGCTAAAACAGCATTCAAAATTTGTTTGCTAGTTAAATACTTAAGAAAAAAAGTAAGGTTTTTTTTTTATTTTTTTTTATCAAAACCTGTTTTGCATTTAAAACCGAATTGTGAAACAAAGGACGTATTATCTGTAGTTAGTGAATTGAAGTGATTGTTTCATAGACTTGTAGAGTACATCTATACTGCAATAAAAGACCCACGCCATGGCTGCAGGGTCGGGTCAGTTTACAGTAACTCTTCACTTAAAGTCGTCCCGGTTAATGTTGTTTCATTGTTACGTTGCTGATTTAATGTTGTGCAATGCTCCCTTCTAACGTTGTTTGGCAGCCGCCTGCTTTGACCACTGCTTGCAGGAAGAGCAGCCCAGTGGAGCTAGCTGGTGGGTGGTTGAAACCAGGGTAGACCGACAGCCCCCCCATCAGCTCTCCCTATCAGCTCCCTGCTCCCCTAAGTTCCCTGTGCAGCAGCTGCCCAACAGGCTAGCAATTGCAGCTGTCCCTCCCCCCACTGCCATGTGCTGCTCCTGCCCTCTGCCTTGGAGCTGCTCCCCAAGCTCCTCTGATGTACGG